CAGAAGAAGATCAGGTAGATCAGAGGTTAAAGATCGCTGTGCTGAGTCACATGAACGCTAACAGCTCCATGAAAAACAAACGTATTCATTATTTAAAAAATGTATACCTAGGGAACACATTTGCGATTTATAAATGTATTACATTTTTTCCTCTTTCTTTGTTATTCACCTTTCCTTCGTTCTTCCTTCATCCTCGCAGTAAATCAGACATGTCTCGCCTGAGGCTGGCCGCAGGTGGAGCCATTATGAAGTTGGCCCAGGAGCTGTGTTACCATGACATCATCACACCTGAACAGTTTCAGCTCTGCGGCCTTGTAATCAATGTCAGTCTCACCTTCACATCCCATTGTTATAGTCTCAGTGGGAAAAGAAACTATCAATAGCCAGTAAAAAAAATTCTTTGCTCTCTTATTCGAGTTTGATCAATTGAGTTTCACTCCACTGTTTCTTGCCCTGTGTACAGGATGAGTGCTACCAGGTTCGTCAGATTTTCGCTCAGAAGCTGCACCTGGCTCTTGTCAAACTGGTGCTGCCCCTCGAGTACTTGGCTGTCTTTGCCCTGTGTGCCAAGGACCCGGTGAAGGAGCGCCGCGCCCACGCCCGACAGTGCCTCCTCAAAAACATCTCCGTCCGCAGAGAGTACATCAAACAAAACCCGCTTGCTCAGGGTCAGTGTTCTTGAAACCTCACTCAATTGTCTAGTCAGGTGTCATCACACTATTGTAGCAATAAAATGAAACAAAAACAATGTGTAAAATATGATGGTAGTGCAGCATTTAATTTAGGGATGGATATTGGTTGCTTTAATAGATACATTTAGTTTAATGCGTGATATCATACAGTGCTTTCAGTTTTTCCACACAGCACAAATACAGGCAGGAGATTTGTACAATACAAACAAACATGGAGGAGTGTGAATGTGAATTAGAACTTTTCTTACATTACATTAAAATGAGTTATTCTCTCCATCAGAAAAACTCGTCTCCCTCCTTCCTGAGTATGTCGTTCCCTATATGATCCACCTTCTGGCTCACGACCCAGACTTCACAAAACCACAGGAATATGATCAGCTCAAAGACATCAAAGAGTGAGTTTGTTGGACATTTATAGTTTGAACTCTGAAAATGCTCAAACAATCACCTGATCGCAGCAGTGATGTACAGCATGTTTGTTGTGTGTTCTTATGCTGATTAGATGCCTGTGGTTCATGCTGGAAGTGCTGATGACGAAGAACGAGAACAACAGTCACGCCTTTCTTAGGAAGATGGTGGAGAACATCAAACAGACCAAGGATGCACAGTGTCCTGATGATGCAAAGGCCAATGAGGTACACACACACACACACACATTGAGTCATGACTTGAGACTAAATGTTGTCCAAAGAGTTGTAGGATAATAGAGGGGTACTATTTTTTTAACAAGGAAGCACAAACAATGACTCACTGAGTTTGTATCCTAACAGTATTTCTTGTGTTGTCATGTTTACAGAAGCTGTATATCGTCTGTGATGTCGCTCTCTTCGTCATTGCCAACAAGAGTACTGCATGTCACCTGGATTCTCCAAAAGACCCTGTCTTACCTCCCAAGTTCTTCATCTTACAAGACAAGGCAATAAACACACTTTTTTACGTTATTTATTCTCCCTTTTTACTTGGGAAATGTAAATCTTCATCATACATAAAATAACTGTACTGTTTTAATCTATCTTTGAATGATCGCAAATTCATGAAACAACCTTTGATACAACTTTTCACTTGACTGTGGCTGTTGTGGGTGGTTACAGTACCACCTATTGGACTTTCTCAGAATCTGCAGCTAGAGAAGGATACACAGCTGAAATAACCAACACATTATTTTATTGTCCAATTGACCAGCAAGAGACCACAAGGTGGATGTCGGCTGATACTGATGTTCTGCAGATAAATGGGTCCATCCCTACTGTGGTTGATATTTGTAGTCGAGCAGTTTATGCTAATCACATTTTCTGTTGTAATTTATCTCTTCACAGGACTTTAAAAATGATAAAGAGTATCTGTTGACAGAGATGAGACAAATGCTGCTCAGTGGGAAGGTCAGTAAGAAACACTTCTAACTGTGTACTACTTGTGTCTGAGTACATATAGAACTTTAATGCAGGCTGGACTGGTATATTAAAGCCCACCCCTCCTTCCCTTTCTTTATTTAGCCTAAACCAGCTCCAGTGTTGGCGACTGTGAACAAACCTCTGACGGTACCAGGGAGGCGGATCTTCACTAAGACCACCCCAGTCTCAGACACAGTCAGTAACACCAGCACCAACTCCTCTCCACTGAGCTCCTCAACCATCAACAAGAACAGGTAATCACTCATTCACACATACACATCATCAGAAAACTGAATATTACAATCAAGTGATTCTTCTTTTAATATGTCTTGTGGTAACAGCAACGCTGCCATCGAGTCATCAGAGAGCCGAGTACAGGAAAACAATGAGAACCCAACAATCAAGAACGATGAGGGGAAGAAGGTAAAAGCTCATAAGCAACAACCAGATGTGAACTGAAACTACTCCAATTTACAGCTGTGGTTTCTTAACTGGACTTTTTGTCCCTGTCTCTCAGGAGGAGCCGAGTCAAAATGCGGCCCCCAATGCTGGGACAGAAGCGTCGCCAGTGAAAAGACGTGGTCGTCCACCTAAGACAGCTGCCGCTCCTGGAGCTGAAAAGAAGGAAGCTGTGGCACCAACAGGGGGTGGAGCTGGCAGAGGCAGGAAGAGAGCGGCTGACCCCAACTCCAATCCGTCTGCAGAATCCGCCAACACCAAGATGTCAAAACAGCAGCAGCAGAATGATGAAGGGACAAAGAGACAGATTGACTTACAGAGGTAAGAGCGGAGGAAGGAGCAGAGGACAGGGAGAAGGGACGACACGGAGGTGGAATTTACCATCATACGTTTGTTTTATTGGAAGATGAATATTGTTTATCCCCAGTTTATGTCTTTTTAAGCAATAGGTAAAGAACAACATCCCATCATCCCTCAGATATGAACCTGTTCTCTCAGTAGGTGGCCATTTGTGAGCAGTGAGAGTGAAAAAGTGAGAAAGGGGGAGCCAGGAAGGGAAACAGGGAGAGCAGCTGTAGGGACAGTCGCCCTCCTCCTGGGCAGCCAGGGGGACACAGAGATGGAGCCTGAGTCCAGCCCTGAGGGTGTTACCTGTGACAGGAAGAACATAGAGAGATGCCCCCTCCCACAAGAGCAGAACAGCGGTGCAGCCAGGTCCAACAAAGATAACCAGGGAGATGCCAAGTTCACAATGAGGGGAGTGCCCTCTGGAAGGCAGGGCGAGCCCAACAGTGGAGGGAAGGCAGGCGGACTGGCAGTGAGTTGGTTTTGTCGAGGAAGTCACAAAATATCTGACACTGAACCTTCTGTGTTGTGATATCTATGCTGGATCACATCATGTAGAATGAACTTTAAATTGCTGGTTATTATTTTTGTTTTTTGAAAAGACCTTTTGCATATATAAAAATACAGTACAAATTAAATCAGCGGAGGATGGACACACACACACACACGGATGTAACTAGGATTCGATTTTTTTACAACCCACCAAAAATACCATTCAAAGTTTTGGTGTTTATCTATTTATTGATTGAAAAGATCAGTTTTATTTTTGGCTTGTATTATATTCTGCATTTTAAAGCTTCACACTGTGACGACAGGTTTTTCCATCACAGTGACAGTAACAGATAGTAAATGATGCAGACATCAAACTTTTTCTTTCTTTTTCAGGTAAAGAGAAAACCGGTGAAGGGGAAATCAAGACTGTAGAGAACGGGCCATACTCTTCCACGTAAACTCCCCAGCCCTACGCACATGCTCCTCTGACTCTTAAAGCTTTCCTGGATACGTTACGGACCTTTCGTAAAAAACACACATTAAGTATACAAACACACACACTTAAACACACACCACCACTGACACCCTAGAAGGTTTTAAACACCTTGTAGTCTTGATTTAAAGTGCACTGTATGTAGGTGTTACTCAAAAAACATGTTATTTTTTCCCCTTTGTGTTTGTTGCTCTTTGCTTCTTTTGTGGAGCTGTTTTTAAAAAAATAAGAAAAAAACAAAACAGGATGGACATTTTACAAACGTTTTAATCTGATTATGATTGTTGCTTATTAAATTCCCTGGGAAAAATCCTACTCTGTCTTCTGACCTCTTCCTCATGTCCTCTGTTGCATTTCTTTTCCCCAGCTCACCAGTTTTACACAGTTGATTTTCATTTTTTTTTTTGTAAATACCTATGTGCAACTTTCCAGTTAAATTTTTTGAATATCCAGTTAAAAATTGCAGCAAATGGTTAAAATATGGGAACATTAATGTATAAACGGATGTACCGGCACCAAAATTTTATAAACTTTGGTATGTTTAGGTTTCTAACTTTGGTATGTTTAGGTGCTTTAGCTTGGTTATAGCATTAAGAGGCAAGGTAGAAACTCCACGGTTTCTTACCCGCCACCTGTTATTCTGTTGAAAGGCCTTTTGATTAATTTCCAGTGTGTTCTCAGACTAATTTGAATTTTCAGACATTTCTAGAGACTGTGTTCCATGCTCTGTTTGCCTCCTCGTCCCCTGGTCAAGGGGTCAGAAATCGAGCTGGTTTTGAATTACCTTTTTGTTTTTTAACTGCTCAAGTTTTGGAATGCATAAAAGAAATATTACTATACAAGTTTGTGTTCAGGATTTTGTTCCATCTTTTACAATGATATATATTTTGTACTTCTGTCAGTTCTGTTTGGTTAAAGCCTGGTTTTAGGCATCGATTGAGTGGAAACCTCTGTAGGTTGTGTTGAGGACAACTTATTTTTTATGTAGTTTAAAGTATGCCTATTCTCTTGATCATATTTAATTTTTTTTTCCAGAAAATAAATGCTTTTAGATGTTACCTCGAGTGCGTCTGTCTTCACCATCATGTTTTTTTTACCTGCAGCTTTTTAGACACGACACAAGCAAACTTGATTTTCCACTGTTTTTTAATCAAAGAAACATGACACCGTCACAATAAATAACCATGCTTTTTTATACTGCTGATGCTTGCTTCCAAGGAAACAAAAAAAGAAAAATAAGTCTCAATCCAAATGGAGAAACTGAGATGCAACAGCCCCTTTTTATGCTGTCATCGTGCAATATTGTACATAGTGAGAACACCAGGAAGACAGGGAGGTGGTGGTGGAGAGGGGGCCTCTTTTTGTCCTTTCTTTTTCTTACAAAATATAGATCCAGCCAAGTGATAACAGGACGGCTCTTTATCAAGGATCTGACTATTTACAAGTAAAAGGAGATGGTGTTTGCATTCTACCCTTTGACCATGAACCATTCTTTTTGTTTCTCGCCTGGAAACTCGTTCAACGTCAAATTAGATGATTGCATGATTAACTCAATGTGTTTGTCATACGCTGCTGTGTTGGTAGGGACTGAGCTGGAGGTCAAGCAAAAGGGAGTTTTCTTAAAAACAAAAAAAGGGGATGTGTGAGGATGCACCAACGCCCCACTTTTCTGTACTATGAAATTCATTTACAGTTCATGTACCCCAAATCAAGAATGTGAAAAAACTGCAGAACAGAGGAGTTCCAGCCTCTTGTCTGACTCAAACATCAGTAAAAGACAACCCTCCATGAATATTTTATTTGGCTGTGTTGTAAAGCATTTCTGGCAATATAGGGCGTCGCCTATATTGCCTCAATATATGGCCAAAGATCTGTTGGAGTCATTTGTGATAAAGCCCCTCCCCCTCACAGCTGAGAGGGTGAGCGATCCCTTAATTCGTGCCTGTGGTTGAAGCTGACTGCTCTGAAGAAACCAACAAATTGCATTGCAAACTCAAATCCTTAATAACATTCAACACATTCCTTCTCGAAGTGTGCCGGACGCAACATACACCAGAGGGGGCTTTGGTTCCCTACGCGCACGCACACACACACAAACCAAACTGGGTGTGCTTGAGCAGTTTGCCGAGCAGAAGTCCCAGGTGTCTCTTTCCGTAGATCAGAAAGAGTCAATTCAACCTCAAAGTCCCATCACATCAAGTAGCCAAACTAAATACAAAGGCAGCATAGAACATGCGAGGATAAGAAAAGATAAACAGATTGGTTGGATTGTGGTGTAGCAGAAAAGGTGACAAGTAACGACCTTTACTGCCTGAGCTGGCTGTTACCTCCTGTTCCGTTAGGGCCAGGATTTTTGGCTGTGCCACCTCAGGTCAATCTTTAAGGAAACAAGACAGAGGGATTTCTCATGGGTCACAAAGCATAAAAAGATATCTCTTCCATATAACTGTAAACTAGGCATAGTTTATATTTAAAATAATTTGTTTTACAATGCCATGTAAGAAAAAAAGTATATCCCCATCGTATTTTCAAATTTACACGCGTCTATTTACAGATAACGTTTTTCTTCTCTGCATGTGTGTGGATGTTGAAGGATGTCTGTGTGTGGGATCTTTCTCTACTTCTGCAGAAGACAAAAGTGTGAACATCCAAACCTCTGCAGATGAATGAAGCATCAGTATGCAGGATTTCCTTCAATTTTTGCCCTGAAAAAGTGGCAGTTACTCTTTGCAATACTACAACACATTTGTGAAAAAGAAATTTCATGATGCTTCAAAGCTGATATGATTAAAGGGCATGGAAGACAAGATGCATGATAGAAATATTTCAGGGCTCATTACAAGAAAAACATGATTGGATTTTGTGGGACTCAGCATGATGAACACATGAGATCAGACAGGCAACAGTGTGGTGAGAATATTGGCGATTGTGTTTCTACCGGTGTTTGTAGTGATCAAACTTGCTATATAAGTGGGTTCAGAGTACTGCTGTGGAAAATAGGATGTTGTCTGTGCGATCAAAAGAAAAGGCAATGGTGGAATGTGCCGGGGGAGCTGATGCTGTGATGACAGGAGTTTGTTTGGGATCCTCACACCTGGCTGGATCTCAATTGCTGAGGAGCAGCTCTGTCGCTGTTTCCACGTCCCAGGATTTTGAAGACAAGGCCGCTATTACTGCGTCCTGCATGACAGAGGAAAGAAGAATAAAGAAAAATGTGATCTGTGTCAGATGCTTTCAAATGGGGTTTTCTCCCTCTACTCATATTAATTTAGTTTATAAAATGTCAGAAAAGCTATTAAAAGGTTAATAAGTAGGAAAGATCATGAGTTTAAAGCAACGTCTTCAAATGTTTTATGTCTGAACAATGTTCCGTAACCTTGAAATATTCAAGTTTACTAACAGAGAAGACTCAAATTACACAAGAAGATCACAACAGCTTAAAAATGTACTCAAAACTATTTTATCAGTTATCAAAACTCTTTCTGATAAGTTTTTAGTCAATAAACGGATTATTTCATCTCAACTGCCAAGTGAAAACCCTCCCATCCTCCACCATCCATTGGTGGATATAAAGTATAAAAGTGCAAGAAAAACTCAGCGGTTCTGACCTTATCAAAGCCCATGGCACACAGTTTGTCTATTTTACGTTTGTATTCAAGACTGGGGACAGGAGCGCCAGCGTAGAAGTGAGACCACAGTCTTGCAGTTTGTTTGAACATTTCTGGGTTCTGCTTATACTGAGGAGAGAGAGAGAGAGGGAGACAGAGAGCAAGCTGGGTTAAATACAAAAACAGTCTGCCACATGTGAGGACACAGAGGCACAGACTGGGTTTAAATGCCTGTGACTGTCCACAGAAAAACACTGACAAAAATAATATTCTAAGAAAATGTTATTGTTACTACAAATGTAATTTGCCCTCAGAATAGAAGAAATAACTGGCTGCAGCAAATCACAAAACATCTCTCACCTGATTGGCTACTACTGCATCCTGTGGGTCGTCTGGTTCTGCCGCAGCAAGTAGAGCCTGTAGAGACAACAGCACTGTCCGCAGCGTCATAGCAGCTGCCCTGGGTGACACAGATAACGAGTTGAAACAGATAAGTGGAGGGTGTTCTGTATTTTTACAACAAGCACCGTAAAGGTCTGAGGGTTCAGGTACGACTCACTCACCACTGGTCTTTTAAAATGTCCAGACATATTGCTCCCGTCACAGAACTGATATTCGGGTGCCAGATCCTACTGATGAAACGCACCTGAGAAAGACAGATGAGTGGTTATATAGATAAGAACAGTGAGGTCATGGAAAAAAAGGATTTGCAAGCACAGTCATAACCTGACTTTGACATGTTCTTGTTTTGATCATATTTTAATCAAATATGATCTAAATCATATAGCTGGGCCATAAAATGGTTATATACATTTACAGTTTTTTGTTACCGTGATAGTTGTTGTTTTACAATTTCACTTTCAGTTCATTGTACAATGGTACAAATTAATCAGTATCAAAAATGTGTTCCTCTCCCATATTGATATCGGCCTCCAAACATCTGGTTTGGCTCTTCTAAACTTACTTTATTATGTCAACATATATATGGATGTAGCTGAAATTACAAATACTGTGAAAGTATCTGTTCTGTGCCTCAACCTTTGAGGATAAATCAGTTTCTCTGTTGCCAGGACTCTGTCGGATTTTATTTCTTCAATTCCCGTAAACTGAAGAATCTATATTGTTTAAAATCCACACTGTTGGTGTCAGACTCCTTGATATTTTATTTTAGCAGATTGTCACTGTAAAATGTATAACTACTGCAAAACTGGAGTAACCAACCTGTGCAAATGGTAAACAGAAATCAGAAAACCTGTTTACAAGCCAGAGAATCCTGCTTTCTATTAGCATCCTTTAGCCAACATTTTGAGGTTTTTCAAAACAAAACCTTGTTTCTAATCAGAACAACGGTGAGCATGTAATGGGCGGTGCAAGTTGACACACCTTTCCAATATGTTACAAACTGTTTCTAATAATCAATGTTGTAAATACTGTTATTTCGCAACACACAGCATCTATTGCACTTCTGTCTGTCCTGGGAGAGGGATCCTCACATGAGGCCCTCTCTGAGGTTTCTACTTTTTGTTTCTGGTAGTTTTTCCTTCCTCTTGTTTTGAGGACAGAGGATCTCACACCTTGTTTAGCCCTATGAGGCAAATTTAGATTTGTGAATATGGACTACACAAATAAAAAATGATTGGTTGATTGACCAGTGATATTGAGGCTAACACATACAAGTGCTTAATTGAGCAGAGGACCAGGTGGAGAATACTGGAGCACATACCTTAGGTGGATTAAAAGGATATGTTTCTGGGATTTTGATTTCGAGCTGATATCTGCCACCTGCAAGACAAAGACAAACATGATGTTTCAACATGAGAACTCACAACGTGCTGAAGTGTAGCAAACATCTGTAATGATGCAGATGTGTGACAGTACCTTCATACGGTGTGTCTGGAGGACCTGCGATCTCCCCCCGCAGCTCTGTGAAGTTCTCGTCCACCAGATCTACTTTAATCTGGTTTTTACTCGTCTGAGTGTGGGGACAGATGAGAGGGACACAGTGAAAACACCCTGCTGCTGTTGGTGGGCTCACAGCTCAGCCCTGTCCTGACATGTCTGTGTCAACCATGACACCACACAGTGATGCGAAGCTGCAGACATGTCGGCTGCTCCACTCACAACAACACTCAACTTGTATTCACAAATACGTTTGTTGGGAGAGAATCACGCAAAGCGTTCGGGTACTAGCGTTAGCAACGCAGATAGCTTAACAGAGGAGACAGTCTGTGAAAAGTTAACTACAAACCCCACATTATCCAAACATGGCGGATACGCCAGTCACTTTAAATGACTCCTGTCTCTTCGGAATGAAACCAACAGCTGATACGCGACGAACACGTTTGTGAAGTTGGTGAACGCTGTAGCAAAACAAAACGAGCTAATGCTAACTGTGGATGAGATGTCAAAAATACCGTGGGCAGGCTAGCTGCTGCTAACCCGAGCCGACACGGCTAGATGACGGGTGGTCCGCACCAGCCTGGGTTATTAATAACAAGCAAGCGACGTTGTTTGTTGGACACACCGGGCCTGTCGAGCAGGATCCCCGGGGTTTCCTGAACACACCCACCCGACATTAACAACACGGCTCAGGCCACAACACCGAGACCAAGCTACGAGCTACAGGCTGAAGTTGCGCCGCTGAGGCCTGACCCGCTGCCGCACCGGAGCGACGGTAACGGAGCTCTCCCGACACTTCACGTTCTAATGGCTTGGGAACAGCGACAAAGAAGGGGCCGACTGGGGCTAAAACACACACGAGGAGACACACAGACGTTACCGCACCTCCTCGCTTTTGAGAACTTCTTTAAACTCCCGCTTGATCCGCTGGACCGCGATGTTAGCCATGGCTGTGTCCGCTGAGCCGCCGCCGCTGAGCTGCTGCTGCTGCTGCTGCCGCTGCCTGGAAGCGATAGACCCGGGGCCTCTCTCCGCGTGTTGTCTGTCGGTGAGCGGTGGGGACTGCGATGTCGTTATGGAGCCTTCCTTTCACTTTCCACCGCTTCTTCTCTCCTCAGAGGCAGATCACCGTCAGCCGCCTGCCTTCCAGCGGACAGAGTCAGCGAGTGTGTCCAGAACATGCACACACAGCTGCGGGTAAATGGAGACCAACCTGGAACTTTTCATTAATGAGCTGCAGAGAACATGGGTTCATGTGCTTTTCAAACTTCACGATTTTTCCTCATCATCGCGCCTTGAAAACAGATAGTTCCTTTTTCTTCAGCCTGGTTTATGCTCAGGATTTTAAATCTTAATGTATTTTTTGTTTTAGAATGAATGAGTGAGCAAAACATACAAAAAAGACAGAAGACAGATCTCTGATAAGACACCATTTACACGTTTCAAATCATGACTTTAATTACTTTTAAAATCATCATAGATCAGATATAAACTATTAATAATTAGTAGAATGGCATTCAGTAGAGTGCATATACCTCCACCATGGCCAACAGTCACATTATGAAACCACAATGAAATTCACTAGATCTGGATTTTAAAAAAATCAAGATCCATGAAATATTCTCTGAGAAATTGACAACAATGTTGAAAAATACAAAGTGTAATATATATATATATATATATATATTACACTTTGTGATAAATATATATATATATATATATTTATATTTATTATAAACTCTTTAGTTCACTTCAACTGATTTCCACTGCTTACACACCAAAGCTTTAACTGTCTTCAACTTTCTCGTTCTTTCAGTTTGATGGTGTAGCTGCTTTTGTTTCTTTACCATCGACTGACATTGGAGTGACCTTTATCTTAAGTTGCTCATAGCAATCTGAGGCCTTCAGCTTCTCCCTTGACCTGCTGACAAGTATTTGAAATTAACCAGAATATTTCAGAAAAGGAGAACAACTATGTAGTTTTCTAGATTTTGAGGTATGCATTGTGAAACTTTTTATTTTAATGATACCGTGAAACATTGTTCTTTGTAAGAGGTAGCAGCCAAAACATTGAAAATCACTTATTTCAAACATAAGAATTCTAAACCTACTAATCTGAAAGGTAATTGTCAGATTGGTGCCACTCGATAAGGCTCCATTTATAAACAGTTTATAAGCTGTACTTAGTGGCTTTATTCACATTAATGTGTCATTTTTCTTAGATCATTTATAAACCATTAATAAAAATCATTTCTGGATTGCCAGATTGTGGAAATTGCTCGAGCTTAACTCTTTTCTTGTCGTATTTAACCGTTTATTAACTTCAACATAGAGTTTGACTTCTGTTATGAGTTCAAAACTTAAAATCGTAAAAAATGTAGCGAGCACACGTGAAATGCAGAAGGTAAGAGCTGCGTTTATCATAAGAAGGAAAGTTTGGTGTCATTGAATATCTGCAAACCTAATGAGCTGTAGCATGAAATACCCGGGTAGAGCACAAGTACCTCTAGTTGCTCAGTTTAAACAGCTGTCCAGATGTTGGGAGTCTCCATCGGCCCCTGTGTGTGACGTCAGACAGATGGAATTGTTTGTTTACTCGGCAGACGTTACAATCGTGCCTCGCTGTGATTGGCTGAAGGGCCGCTCGTCAAACGCGTGGCCCAATAGGACGCATTTAACCCGCCCCTTTTCCCAGGAATGTCCCGGATGTCCGTCGTGAAGAATAGCTGGGCTGCTTCACGTGTGTGAAACAAACACACACACACACGGTCCGTTGACATGTCTGCGGTCTAACGGAGACAGTGAAGCTGCAGCAGCTCCTCCTCTTCATCACCGGCTCCTACAAACACGACCATCCTCTCCGGGATATTCACGAACGTCAAGTAAGTGAATTGCGTTTCGGTGCAGCTCGCTGTCGCATCTGTCTCCAATCATGTGATCATCACAAAGAAGACATGGCTGTGATTTCCTCTGGCTGCACTGGCTGGGTTAGCATGAAGCTAGTCTGATCTCGGCTAGTTTATGTCTGGATCAGTACAGATGTGGATGTGAAACACATGTTGTTGTTGGATGGTGACGGCTGTTTGATTCCTGCAGGGACGAGCTCATGTGGGGTTTTTAATCACTCATGGAAAATATAACGTGCATGTTTTCATACAAACAGCTGTAACTAAGGCAGAATGTGTGTTAAATGAACGTTTGCTGCACTAAATGGCTTTAGTTTGCACATATCATTTATGCAATTAATCCGTATAAAATAATACAATATTCTTAAAAAATCAAACCTAGTGTTTATTTGGAGAAACATTCTATGAAGACAATATCCACATTTAATTTTAGCATGTTGAAGTGAAGTGATCAATATTTAATTGTACGAACACCAACCGTAGAAATATACAGGAGACATTACAATAGCTTTCAGAAAGTCACATACCTCCACCCTGGCCCAAGTCCCCTTAAATCAAGCTGCACAAAATTTTAGCTAATCAGTACCCTAAATGTGCCTGATTTTTTTTCATCTATAGGTCTTCCCTCTGATCCAGACATGCACCAAAATGTAATGTTTTTTTCCCTGACCCATACCACATCCATACACCAAGTTCTGTAGTAATCTGCCCAGTAGGTTTTGCTTAATCCTGCTGACTAACAGACAAACCAGACAAAAAAACCAAACTCTTTGTAGTAAATAGCTGCAAGAGATTATGTTTGGAACGTTGAGGACCAGCAGACTGATCTATATATATCTGTACGGCCAGAAAAAAAATGTGTTTAATTTTCTTATAGTCAAGCTAGACAGGAATATTGACCAGGTTGATACAGTATATTAGGTGATACTGGTCTAAATCAGTGTGCTCATTGGTACATGTCACTGTGACATCTCTCCATCATCAGAGTCTCTGATGATGGTACTATCGTAATATCACAGCTAATGAAAAATGACCCAGGGGGTTGTTATGACTGGAGAACCACTGAAGTGAATCATTTGAGAGGATGTAAAGAAAATTGAAGGACTGAAGGAGAGATATCTGGATGTATTAGTATCATATTGGTAAAATAATTCATACCAATAAATTGCATGAAACTGCAGAACATAAATGTTTTAAGATGTGTTCTAAAAGTTAATGTAGAAACAGCTCCTGACTCATCACAGCTAGTAAATCCATTAATAAGTGTACAGTATTTTAGTTTCTCTGGGGCCTACAGTGCTACATTAAACATCAGAGACAAGTCAGTCGAACATAAGGAACCAGGACAAACTTAAACAAGTGATTTATTTATTCCCTTTGAATGTGCAAAATTGAGACAACATATCGAGTTGACTGGCATGGTTAGACTTATGGTTCAGCTCAACATGCCCTGCAACAGCTGGAAGACATCAATGTTGCGTGTAAAAAAACAAAACAAGATTACACACAGGGTTTCAGTCACAGTCTGCATCCTGTCCTAACTTAGCAGTCTCCTCCCCCTCATCTGTGAGACAACAACAGAGCACAGCGTCAGCTTTCGTTCTTCCTAGTTTAATCCAGCACCTTTGTTCCAAGGTGGACGCCGTCTGGTGAGACATGGCAGAGGGAGACTTTGACCCATGTGAGTGCATCTGCACACAGGAGTACGCTATGAGACGTCTCATCAATCTGGTAAGTAATGGAAGATATGCAGATACTTTGACTGTAAATCTAAGTGACTCTTGTAAGAGAGTTGAGGTGCACAAACAGGTCAAAAGTATTTCAAGTATGCAGGGAGCAGTGAAATTATCTCCTGCTAAAGTCAAGAGAGGGAAGAACAGAGTTTCACAGTGAGCATGTAAAGTAAAAGACTGTAGAGAAGCGGGGGAGAGGGAAGTGAAAACCTATCGAGTGACACCGGGACTACATATCCTGGTTCCTGCTCAGTGTTTGTCTTGAGAGCCTATCAGCTCTTTCGCTTTGTCACACTTGTCTTTGTCAGGCTTGAATGGTTCTCTGGATCCTTTGAATAGAAAGTGTGTCGTAAAAGATGTTAAGCTAAAACAAGTTTCTAGGTGTATTGAAGATTAGAGATTGCAGTCATGTTGTGTCAGGTTCCAGGTGACCTCATTGACTCTTTGTGGACAGGTGTAACTTCCAAAGGGTGTTGTCCAAATAATTAACCAAATAACTTTGCACCACAGTTCCCAGTATTTTGTAGGTACGTGGCAGACCTGGTTTTGCACCATCCACATGAGAACAAGCGCTGTAAAAGTAAGCTCTAAGTGGATCACGTGAGTCTCATGTAATAAACTCTTAAGGTTTATATCACAAAGTTTTATTAGCTGTGTGTTTACAATCAGGCCACCTGGGATATCTCTCTCCAGGTGAGGGTAGTGGTAACCAGAGTAAATAGTGCGGTCATTAAACTCATATAGTTTAAAGTTACTATCATTTGTTCTGCTCTTCTGTTGTCATACTTTGTTCCTTCTGTTTTTCCAGCTGAGGCAATCTCAATCGTACTGCACAGACATTGAGTGTCCTCAGGAATGTATGTATGAGCACCTCCTCATGTAGTTCACGCTAGAAATATTAGAGTAGGTGACATGTGTGACATATAAAGGTGTGTTTGTGTACAGTGCCAGGTCCCAACGGGCCACTTGGAGGAGGAGGAGGAGGAGGTGACCTGATCCTCCCAATGGTCCTGATGGGATGGGTGGTCGTGGCTCTGGTCCTGTTCCTGCTGCGTCCATCCAGTCTTAGGGGACCACGTTCCACAGGCAAACCCACTCAACCCCACAATGTCAGTACTGATCAGACTCTTTTTATATGATAAATGAGGTATATTTTGTCTATTTGAAGATTTACAGAGTTCAAATGGAAGAAC